TAATCAATGACACTATGCCGAGCTCCCTGCGTACACGTCGGACATGCAGTAGAGGAGGCAGGGGAAGAGCCGATCTGTCGGCCATTAATCGCTTTGCGAGGAGGCTAAAATTTTGAGCTCGCAATTTCCCTCTCCGTGAAACCGCTCTGTCGCACCTGAGCGACAGCTGATCCGCCTGTTCTATGCTCCCCGCGATGTTTCCTGGGTTGTGATGGAAGGCTCTGAATCACGTGGCGTTTCGGCGCATCAAGATCCAACGCATTCGAATGACTCGTCTGTTGATGCCTTGCCTCCTCGGTAACATGATGCAATGAAAGCAACGTAGCCTGGTGGCACACAGCACGGGTGCAGCTGGACGCATTGATTCTTGCAATTGTGTTGATCTGTGTGTTTTGCTTCACTCAGGCCCTCTTCCGAGGCTGAACCATCAAACGCAGGGCGGACCAACAGGCGAAGGCCGTCTATGTCAAGGCCGCCCTACTCGCCCTCCATCCCCGTCCTGCTGACACTCATCATCTCCCTTCTCTACGAGGCACTCGCCCTCTCCTTTCGAGACGCCTTTCGCTCCAGACACTCACCACCGGCGTTCCTTCTTCCAACCCCACAACCCACCACTCCCCTGCGTCGGCTCGGTTCATCCCACAGCCGCCTCTTCGCCCGGCAACGCGACCCCAAGTATGAGTCGCGGATCTTCGAGCACCCGGTGCCCTACTTCGACCCCAAAAAGTACGATGAGCGGGTCAACATCCGGTTGCCGATGGGACCGAGGCAGTACAACCAGACGTGGCTGGACGAGTCGCGGCCGTCGCTCGTGGGCGAGGGCGACTTCGTGGACTTCCACGGCCGGCAAAAGTACATGCAGGGCCGGCCCCAGGACCCGCCTGAGTATCAGCACCCGTTCTCTGTTCACAACTTCCAGAGATACCATGCATTCAACCCATGGTGGAAGGTCAGTCGGCCACTGAGATGACAAGACGCACTCGCACCTACTTTGGCTCTCCCCCTTCACTGCTGTGGTCTGCACAGGGGTGGGACATCTCTGACGGCGAGTATCCCATCCCCGAGCGTGAGTTCGGGTGGGGTGAGGACGGCGTGGAGCCGTCGGGGTCCCGCCAGCCGCTGCTCGAGTCCAGCCCCCAGCGGCCGCCCAGGGAGTCTGACTACCTCTTCCCAACCATCCCTTGGGGTTGGCGCAAGTTCCTCGTTGTCGCACTCGACAAACCGGGGTTTGAATGGTGCGCGCCGGCCAAATCGAGGCGCGGCGAGGCGAACATGTGGCGGTTTGTCTGTCTGTTTGTGTGTTGTGTTCGGTCAGGTACAACTATGGTCGTCATCCTCAGATGGTCGACCACATAGTGTGGGCACGTCTGTCTCTCCGGCTGCGGAATGCGACGGCCAAGGTGCTGTGGGACATGACCATATACAACGAAACGTCGCGACACGGATGCGGCAACCTCATCAACATCGCCGCGCCCACACTCAAACACGCGAAGGAATTCGCCGAGAAGAACCCCTATTTCGTGAGCTTGTTAAGGGGATGGGTGTGATTGTATGGATGCACTCCCTCCTTCCCCATCTCTCCATCCTACCCGTGTGTGTGTCAGTCGTCAGGTTTGTATCGGCATCACGAGATCTTTGAGTGGCACGACATAGCCGACGAGCATCTCATGATGGGCGCATGGAAGGGCGAAGAGTGAGTGAGTGAGGGAGGGAGGGAGGCAGGGAAGGAGCGAGCGTGCCACCTCAGCACAGCACAACACGGCACAACCCAGCCAAGATGCTGTTTGTGCATGTGTGTGTGTATTTTCTGTGTGTATGTTGTTGCGTCTCTGTGACTGCCTGCAGCACGTTCCTCGTATTTGGCAAAGACAGCGACCTGACGGCCGCCAAGATCCGCGAGCAGCTGGAGGAAAAACACCACAGATACCTCTGCAGGTACCCAGTCCTCCAAGCCTCACTCACCACCCATACCACTCACCGATCCCTCTGTCTGCCTGTCTGCCTGGCTGTGTGTCAGGTGTGCAAATGTGGTGCACTCAGGGAGCCTGAAGCCACCCCGGCAGGACAGCCAGGAGGAGCTCGACCGGCCCGTCAAGCAGATCGTGCCCCTCATATGGCAGCTCAAGGGCCCAAACCCCGTGGGCGCTATGCCCAACAACGAGACGCCTGTGGGCGAAATGTCCATCATCACATGCGACTCACTTGAACAGGTAGGTCAGTGGTGGGGTGTGTGTGTGGGTGTGGTTGGTGCGTCCTCTCTCCGAATGCCATTGGTTCGTTGATGAATCGATGGATGGCAAATGCAGGCGAAGGACTATGCGCGGCGCGACCCCTTTACGCGTGCGGGTCTGTACAAGAACCTGTTCGTGGCCCAGGTGGTGCACCTCGACATCACTGGCAGACACCGCACGCTAGAACGTACGACGCACCACCCATCCCCCCCAACACACACACATGTAGCTGGATGTTTCTGTGTGTCTGGGTGCATGTGTGGATCGGTCAGACACCCCCCGCGACATGTGGGCGCGTCGTCTGGACTTCGACTACGCCGACCAGATCATCCGTGCGATGGGCGTGACGGAGAACAACATCTACGACGTCGACGAAGACCAGTACCAGGAGTACCTGAAGGACTGGCACCAGATCAAGCTCCCCTTCGGCAACTACATGGCCAGCCCTAAACCCTACAGGGGCGACACATTCGCCGGCAGACAGATGTTCGCCTGGCCTTACAAATACGACAGAGCGCTCAACATGTACCCTCCCACCCACACACACACGGCAACACAGACAGAGAGAGGGTGGGTATGCTGACCTCTCCCCCTCTCCCTCTGTCTGTCTGTCTGTCTGTCTATGTAGGAAGGAGGGTCTGTTGGGGAACAACTGGATCTACCGTGACGACATTTGGGTGTTGAAGAACAAGACCCACATACTGTGGCACGACAACAGCACGGGGGAGATGATCGTGTGCTGTGGCGACCGCTACTCGTGGGACAAGCCCGTCGACGAGATGGACCGCACGCAGATACTCATTAACTATGAGATACTCATGGAGGAACTCAGAAAGTGATGCGCACGCACATATACATACCCACACACAGGCAGAGAGAGAGAGGAGCACTGGGCCACTCACACACGTGTGTGTGTGCGTGTGCAGAGGTCGATACACGGACTATTTGCATCGTGATTTCCCGCCCATGAAGCACTACGCCGGCAGATGGCAATCGATGATGACCACTATGGAGGTACGCAAGTCCAGACAGCCGCCATACAATGTGTCCCTCAGTCAGTCAGTCGATCCACTCACCTGTCTGCCTGTCTGTCTGCCTGTGTGTGTTGTCTGTGTAGGAGAAGGACATGATGTGGGGTCTGCCATCGCTGGACTGGGACAACACCGGCAGGCACCTCAAGAATGGAGACTTTGTGCCACCGGGTACGGGAGACGGGCCGGATCAGCAAGCAAAGCACACGGAATGGATGGATGGATGGATGTCATGTTTCTCGCCTGTCTGTGTCTGTCTGTCTGGGTGTGCGTGGTGTGGGTGTAGGTATGGAGTTCATGAGTGATCTGCACATGGGGTACAAGTCGGAGGCCTACCAGGAGTGGGCCAAGGACCTGGGGCCAGACGGGCTGCACGACGTTCACACTGACTTCTGGAAAAGAGTCGACAGAGGTCAGTCTGCCCTGCCGGGCCCCGCTCACCCCGACCCCAGACATATACACACAGGTGCAGTGCATGTCTCTCCATCTGTCTGTCTGTCATGTAGGTGAGGCGGATCCGTCAGAGAACCCCTTCCTGAGCCGCAACGATCCGTCCGTGCATCGCTGGGCGGTGGACAAGCAGCAGAGGTGGCAGAAGGTGCCTCGAACGCCAACGCACCTCATCCCAAAGCTGACGGCGGGTCTGTGGGAGGAGTACCCCGGCCAATATCATGACTTCTGGAGTGCCAAGGAGGAGAGGGAGCTGGCCCAGCAGCAGCAGATGGAGACCATGAAGGAGCTGGGCCTGGGATGAATGAGGCAGGCGGCCAGGGAGGGAGGGAGGGAGGGGTCGAGTGCACACCGGAGTGGCGATGTATGCAATAGTGCACTCGTTGAGTTGCAAGCGTTGATTTGTAGGTTTGAGCCTTTCTGTCAGTCAGTCAGTGTGTCAGACCGCGTCTGAGCCATCGTGACGTGTTCACGTACCGACTTGCCTTGAACGAGTGTAGCTTTGAATGAGGGTGACGTGGGGGGATGAGGCCTGCTGGACGGATGGACGGCTTGAGGCAGGGACCTTGACTGATTGTGACGTGACATGCACGGAATCCGTCGTTCTCTGTCCACTTGTGCTGCTTTCCCCGCCAGTCCCCCACACAACACACATGTATCCTCCATGGATGGATTCGCCCGCCCCCCTCATGCACATGGAGGCACACCTGCGTTTGAGGCAGGCGGCCGCGGGCGGGCAGCTGACTGACTGGTCAGACTCTGCATGAGCATTTCTTGTCGGCGGTCGACCACACGCACGTGCCCTTCTTCCCTCCGCTCTCACACCGGTATTGGGGCATCTTCTGCCACACACACACACACACACACAACCAAGAGGCTGGTGTGAGTGGGAGAGATGTGTGTGTTTGTCAAGTACCTAGACTCACCGCGCACTCGTCCTCTTTCAAGTTGCTGCATTCCTTGAATGGCTGTTTTTCGGGGGGAGCGAAGGTTGCCGTAGCAGGTGCCGTGTCGTTGCGGGAGGCTGTCAAGGTGGCCATGCGGTGCAGGAAGGGACGGGCCTTAACCTGGCCCAGGACACCGGCCGACAGAGACTTTGAAGCTGCATGAGACACACACGCATCGTGACGGAGACGGGCGGTTCTGCCGCGCTTCTCCTTTTCGACACGCACCCAGACTGGTGGCATTGATGCGTTGCTGGTGGGCTTGCGCAGGTTGGCTGACCGACAGGCACATTACCAGCACAATACCGACAGCCATCATGAAGTTCAACGTCTTGGACAGCATCGTTCGTCTAGGCGTCTCTCGAACGAAGAGAAGATTCAGGTATATCAGAATGGGGCAGACAAGGAATGGCTCTGGGAATCGCGGCTCAAATCCGAGACTCCGGGACGGGGGGCTAGTGGGGGCGAATTTGGGGCCACTGTCATTGGCCCTCTCTCCCGACCCCTTCAAAAACACCGCAATCATGTGGCTGGTGGTTCTTTGCTCGTCGCTGGTTGCACTGCTGCTGCTGCCGGAGGGGCCCGCCTTGTCCGCAGCCATGACCCCTACTGAACCCATCCCCCGCCGCGGAGAGCTCGAAGTCACTGCTGAAGGCGGGTTCGTCGATGTGAGCCCCCTGCTCAACAGGCAGCTGCTGCTGAGGAAAACACACGTACACACACACATACAGACACATGAAGGATTCCCGTCACTGACACTGTGGTCATTGCAGGGTGCAGTGGGGAGGCGAGCTATGGCGGAACCTGCAAATGCTACGGCAGATGAACATGGAAATGACACGCATGACGAGCCCGACGCTACCCTGGCTAATGCAACGGACACCGGCATCGGAGAGCCTTATGCAGAGCCAAACGCCACAGAGCCCACGGAAGCGGCCGCCGCTAACACCACCGCCCCACCCGCCCCACTCAACGCCTCAGAGGCCATCGCAACACCCCCGCCAGCAGCAGTAGTAGCAGCGAATGCAACGGAGCCGCCAGTTCCATTGGTGGCATCGATAGGAAACGAAAGCGAAATGACGACTACAAAAGCACCAGCCCAACCCCAACCGGCCTCACCCGCATGGTGCGCGTCAATTCATCCCTCCGTAGACGACTCGTGGTGCATGCGGAACGGCTGCGAAGATCCACCGGCAGGGCGCAAATACTGCCGCAAAGTGAGCGACACCAACGCTGCCGAGATCCGCCAGCTGGCGGCCAAGGGGGCGGCTGCGCGTGCCAAGGCTGTGGCTGAACCTGGGGGCGCTTCATTTGAGACATCGAATGCTCCACCGTCGACAGAGGAGGAGGCCGTGGGAACAGCGCAGAACGTTTCTGCTGAGGTGGGAAATGCTTCTGCATCTCGGGGGGCGAGGCCGGAGGGGGAGCAGGGGCAGCAGCAGCAGCAGCAGCAGCCATGGGACTGTGTGTCAAGCAGCAAGGATGTCTCAGACCACTTCTGTCAGACAATGAACGGCTGCGTCTCCTACCCTGACGTCTGCAAGTACGTGGCCGCCAGCGAGAGAGCATCGACCGTCGTGCCCATCATCCAGCCCGCAGCCGAAGCCGCCCCATCTGCTGAAACAAGACCTCTGGCGTCACAGGCACCACCAGCAGCAGCACCACCACCAGAAGGACCATTGGGCAATGAGCAGCAGCAGAATCCTCCCCAAACAGTGCCGGGCATTAACGAGACGATTGACGTGGTCACGACCACAGCAGTGCCCACTGAGGTGGCACTCGCGGCAAAAGAGGGCGGAGACCAGAGTCCTCTCGGTCTTGGACCAATTAAGCGACTCGCCATGTACCACACCTGTGGATGCATCCCTCAATGTGAAGTGCATGGCAATGTTTATCCATGCGTGTGTGTGTGTGTGTGTGCAGATACTATGCTAACTGGCGGTCCGACGTGAGCCCATGTGATTTGCACCTGGAGAAGGTGTCGCACATCCTCTATGCATACGCTGACCTCTACACTGACCTCAACGACAAGTGTCACGTCGCGTCGACAAACGCAGATGCCGACTTTAACCGAGACATAAAGTGCACAAATGACACGCAGCCGGCCGACCTCCAGGGCATCAGGGGCAACCTGGGGGCCTTCCAGGCCATGAAGGCGCGACACCCGCAGCTGAAGATCCTCATGACCGTCGGGGGGTACACCCTCTCGCGTCACTTCAGCACCTGCATGTCTACGCCGGAAAATCGAGCGGCGGTGAGTCCCCCCCCCCCCCCCCCCCCCCCCCCCCCCAC